CAAAACTTCAAGACCACGGCCACACAGCCCGGAAGACCCACACCAGCCATAATCTGAGGCCTTCATTCTTGAGGTTGTCTGTCTTATTTGAGGGGGAAGGGTCACCTGGAGAAGGCCCTCAAATATAATCTTGGGTCTTAGTGGGTAAATATGGTAGAGAGAGATATTTCTTCACTTAATCTGATCTATTTGGGGCTAATTCATAAATCATTTCCCTTTTCTTCTTGAACTATAGGAATAGAGTCCCCCCCCCCAAAAAAACCCTGCTTTGGGTATCCAGGTTCCAGGCTCTGTCATGAATATATCCCTTTTCCAGAACAAGTTCAGTACTGTTTGTGAATTTTCTGTCATTTTGCAGAACCGTTTTCAGATGATCCAGATGTTATTGCAGTCTAAGACTTGGCAAGGCTTGTTATAAGTATTTCAATCTTACTAATGTTTGCCTTTTTATTGATTATTATCTTTGTTAAATAAACTTTCCTATTTAGAATATTTTTGTCTGGGATATTGGTCATCTTCCCAAAGTATTACTAGTTGATTTCAAGATGATTAGCAATATTAAATTATTATAGAATATAATAAAATCAGGTTAGGCAAACTTCATATTTAATCATTTTTATATCATAGCTACAGTGCTTAAATGAAGTTGTATTTCCAGATTTTTCACTCTCAGTGAACTCTGCGAGTCTAAGCTGTGATTTCTCAGTCCCATGTTCAATTACATTTTAAATAAATGAAAAACAAGCAAATGGCATTCCTCCAGATATAATAACAAAATGTTTTTTCTAAGGAACATTCACAAAGGGTTTTGTGCTATAGTTATCTATAAAATAAGCTGTAGTAACTGATTACCAGTCTTCTCAGCAAATGTCTGGTTTTGTTTTGACTGGCTTTGGGACATTTCAGTATGACTAGGAAAATAATTATGGCTGAGGAAAATAGGCTATTATTATTTTCTAATTAGGGCTATTACAAACCAATCTTCCAGAGTTTAAGGAATGCATTTACCAAATAAGAAATCCTCTTTATTTTAAATTTACTGATAAATGCATGAAATAATTGGAAGGGGGGCATTTTTAATATTTGCATTTGTTCCTTGCACTCTATCTCTCTACCCCAACTCCAGCATAAGAGAATTAGGATTTTATTTCTAAAAATGGTTGTCAGCTCTAGAGTAGCAACAATCCTTCTAGGTTATCATTTTTGTTTATATTTCTTCTCTTTCTTTTATATCCATTGCCCCAGTGGATTTCTATTTTAATGTCATATATCTTGATGAAGAAAGTGAAAGTAATTAGAGTTTAAGAAGATGTCCCTATTTCTGCAGGTCAGGTACAATTTTTAAAAATTGGTGATACAGATCTTTTGCCTAATAAGTATATGTTACAACCCCTCATTTGAAGACTACTTCCTCCTTTTTAATGCTCCACTGAAGCTTTACAGTTTGCCTATTCAACTTCTATCAGGTCTGGTATTGATAAATGTT